CTGGCATGTTGAGCAGGGTACCAAGCAGACTCTCGCACACGTTCTTCGTGATATGCATGACATCAAGGCTGTGAGGCACACGATGGATCTTCCAGTACGGCAAGTCCCAGAAAACAGACCTTGTTTTCCATACCTTCAGCAGCGGCTCTGGCGCCTTTTGCTTCTTTCCCGGCAGTGGGCAGTCTTTCCAATTTTTCAACAGCTTGTCTATTTCCTCGCCGCTCCTCGTACACGGGCGTTTTCGGGGTTCGGTTTCACCATCGAACAGATCCTTGCGTTTCCTCCACGGGTCATCGTCGCGAAGCCACCTTCGATGTCCCATGAACACGGTTTTCGAAGACCCGGGATCTCTATCTAGCTGGCGATACGTTGTGTCATCCATGCACCTTACGCATCCAGAAAATCCGTGGACTACCTGCCCCGCAAGATATCCGTAACCGAGATAGTCGTGCACCGTCGTGAGCAGTGCGGCTCTCATAGGGAAATATTCTTTCTCTGCCGCGTCCCACGTATTGGCTGGCGTTTTCCACAGCGTGTCAATCTCCTCTTTCAGCAGCCCCAGATACAGATTGATGTCGTTCCCTGGTTGTTTCGGCCCTTCAATTAGCATACTCATGTGAATGTACTTCCTCTTCATGCATAACCAGGGGGAAGGTTGTACATCCACACGAACACAGGCCAGGTGCTATGTGTGCTTCTCTGGCTGCCAAACGGATTGACTCCATCGGTGCTCGCGCCCAGCATGATGTTCCTTGGATCGTTCCCAAATTCTGGGTATTCGAAGTTCAACGCTTGCCACTGGCTCGCATCCTTAGGGTGACTCAGCATCTTGTCTTTTTTATCTATCTCCGGATCATTTGCGTCATCTTCTCGCTTCTTCTCCTCCCTATCCGCGTGCCAACGCAGGAGCTTTGCTACCTTAGGGTCCGCGAAATACCGCTGCAGACGAGGAGTGATCAAAAAGTACCACACCACTTTTCGAGGAGCTTTCTTCCTCTTCTTGTATCGAGTGACACCGCACACCGGACATATGGTAGACTCCGCGTGCTCGTCCCGATAAATGATGCAATTGTTCATGCACACATGGTATTTCACGTGCGGTAAATCCAGAGGACACACGATTTTCTTCGCCTCCTCCAAACTGGTCGGGCACTTGTTCCCCTTGGGAAGACGTTCGTGCTAGAATGACATGTTCTCGTCGAAGCATGCGTCGGTCATTTTGTGTTTTACCTTCATCTCCAGAGCCATGAGCGTTACTTTCAGGCGGGTATCCTCGGGCCTGCATCCTTCATACAACGGAGTAACCGCGTCTAACTCAAGTTGATCCATCTTGGCTTTCTCTCGGGCGGTAGATCTTGCGTTATCCGTCTGCTTGAGAAGCAGCTCTTGAATATGAGGGTCCTGCACCCAGCCCATCGATGGTCCAGCGTCATCTGCTCCGCCGGCATCATCATCATGTCCTGCATCTTCTACATGATGACTGTGTACAGCATCACCGTCGTGATCATCTCCTGGGAATTCTTCGTCTTCTCGCCCCCCCGAGCCGCGGTGGTTGTCTTGCTGCCCTTCCTCATTTCTTGCCTGGCCCCCATGGACGACTTCGTAGTCATCTTCATCATCTTGCCACCGATAGCCATCCATGAAACCACGCAAGAGCAGGTGGTCCCGCACCTGCCCGGAATCCGGGTCCGCAATAAGGCTATTCAGCTTGCATCTTCGACACGGACATCTTATCTCCGTCTCGTTCTTTTGAAGCATCTCGGCCTTCGCGAACCTCAAAAACCTATTCACGATGCCTTCGGTCATCGTGCAGACCATGGTCGCCTGCGGGGTAGAGCAAAACGATATTTTAGAACCAAGAAAAAATTTGGCATGACTTTCCCTAAAAATAGGACCAAAAAGAATGCTTAATGCCAAAATTCTCGCCGAAACGGAAATGAATCAACATTCCGGCAAAATATTGGCAACTATCGCATTTCAAATACCGGTACACCTCCAAACACAAACACATATGCAACACCACAAACATATGCAACACCACGAACATACATAGATCTAGCTAGGCCATAAAAAATGCATGTGCACATTGTTGTAGGGAGAACAACATAAATATAGCTTCCCCCCTTACTTACCTAGCAAAACAAGGTAACTTAACCACTTAATTTGAATGAATCTATGGTGGAAATGAGGTGAAAAAGAGGAGGCACCCGAGACAAGGAGGCGGTGGAGAGAATGAAGTGGGGAGAAAGTGAGTGTGGGAGGAGAGGCTGTCCAAAATATCTTGTTGTTGCCCACTTACTAATGGCGCACCAGCAACAAATGCACCATTAGTAATCCAGATTACTAATGGCGCACCCCCTGGTGGTGCGCCATTAGTACTTTTGCAAAAATAGGAATAAAAACAATAATAAAAAAATAACATTAGTGGCGCACCTTCTGGCTGGTGCGCCATTACTAGTTACAACTAGTAATGGCGCACCACCAGTGGATGCGCCATTAGTATGTTTGGACAGGCACACTAGTTCAAAAAAAAATTTGGTACTAATGGCGCACCGTGGGCAGGGTGCGCCATTAGTAGTTTCAACACTAATGGCGCATCAGAAGGTGGTGCGCCATTAGTATATACTAATGGCGCACCACATGTCTGGTGCGCCATTAGTATATACTAATGGCGCACCACATGTCTGGTGCGCCATTAGTGTCATTTCCATCTATAGCCCTTTTCCTAGTAGTGAGCTTTTAGCGCGCGCGGGGCGGTTTGCCGCGCTCCAACGGCCGCGGGAAACAAGCGCGCGGGGGAACCGTTTGCGCGTGCGCGCGAAAAGGCGCCAGCTCGCGCGCAAGATTTGGCGCGCCGCTTCGCGCGCGCCTATAAAAGTGCTGCGCGTGCCACGCGCCTTCTCCATGCTTTCTCTTCTCCTCTTCCTCTCCCTCTCTGCCACGCGCCGCTCCAGCGCCCTGCCACCGCCGCGCCGCCATGCCGCCGCGCCGCCGAGGAGCGTCCGGCTACCGCGGCGTCCGCCTGCGCCCCAACGGCAGCTACTCCGCGGAGATACGCTCCGGCGAACTCCGGCTTGGCCTCGGCACATACGGGACGGCGCGCGAGGCCGCCCGCGCGTACGACGCGGCGGCGTGGCGCCTAGGCTTGCCGCGCGGCCAGATGAACTTCCAAGATGTGTACACGCTCCAGCAAGCGCTCAACTTCGCCCCTCTGCCTCGTCTGAACACGGCGGAAGACTGTGTGGAGCACGCCGAGCGGCAACGCCGCCTCCTCGTCGCCCAGGAGGACGAGCGGGTCATGGCGGAGTGACGCCAGCGCCACCCGGAGCCAACACTCCGCCCACGCAACCAAGATCAGCCGTCCGCACACGAGCTGCAAGCTCCGCCCATGAACATCGCAGCTTCCACCGCAGAGCCGCCGCCCTGCCACCCGACACCTGCATCGGCTGCTCAAAGGATCGGATCACCACCACCATCAGACCTACCATTGTTGGAGCTGCCAGCGCCAACCACGCTTCAACAAATGTAGCCGGAGGCAACCAGGCCAGGGGAAAGAGAAGGGGCGGAGCGGTACGAGACCTCGATCGGCATAACCCCGCACCGGTGACGGGTGGGTAGGCCACCCATCCCTCCAGCCAGCCTCCTCACGTTGGCCCTTGCAACGCCCCACCATGGCCTCTAGGTCAGATCATCGAGGAGCACGCCGGACACTCGCCCGGACGGTCAAGATCCGTCCTGGAGACGACCAAACGAGGTGCCATTTCGGGCCTTGCACACTGGCCACCGGCAATCGTGCAAGACGCAGCAGACATGCCTAGGCCCTGCTGGCGAGACGCCCCCCACCGTCCATGGCCACCGGGCCGCAGATTTGGCCGAGCCAGACCTAGCAGCCGCCCCTGCGCTGGGCGCGCACGCGCCCACGAAGTCCAGCATGCCGCAACACGCGCCCGCGACCGCGCCGCCACGCCCCTCGCCAGCGTGACGTAGCACCCACCGCCCCGGGCGAAAGGATTAAAGGGCCCCGCTGCCGCCGACACCGGCGGACTTTGCCCGTCAGCACACCCCAGCGGCGGCCAAGAGGGGGGAAGGGGACTGAGGCTAGCGACACTGGAGGGGGAGGAGCCCGATACGCGGTGACATGATTGAAGCGGAAACAGGGTGTGCGCCATGATTCTAAAGCTAAGTTGATGCTTACAGAGCATTGCAATGCTGCCAGTGCTCTACACTCCAACCTCTTCCCCTCCGGGGGCGCCCTGAAGACACTCCTCTCCACCACTCTACTCCACAGCCACCGAGCGGCACCTCTTTACCTCTCATCACTCCCATCACCATCTCCGGCAGCCACTGTTGCGCCTCTGGCTGTGTCAAGTGAGGGCGCCGCTGTTGGTTTTCTCCCTTGGATCAGCAATGTTCTACAGCACTAAATCGAGCTTCCCATAAGATCATGAGCAAAACACAGCTCAAGGACATGGTTGATTTCTTTTCCAACCCAGATGCTTGCACGGGCCTTCAGTGATCAACACGGTATGCTAAACCATTACCGACTAGTACTAGTTTACAAGCAAAGCCACGTATAACTAGAAGAGTCTAGGACATAACCGAAATTCATGTATGGCATGCAAATTAAACACATTATCGAAACCTCATGTTTTCTAACTCAGACTAAAGCTAGGCATGCAACTTTTTATTTCCAACAGCCTCGGCACCCAGGTCAAGCTATCCTATAATCCTATCAGGGTAGTTCGTACGACATCAACACCGCCATTCACTATATGGCACAATTTTGAACGCGCACTCTTCTAGTCTTTCTGTTGAAGGGGAGCCTTGGCGCAGTGGTAAAGCTGCTGCCTTGTGACCATGAGGTCATGGGTTCAAGTCCTGGAAACAGCCTCTTACAGAAACGTAGGGAAAGGCTGCGTACTATAGACCCAAAGTGGTCGGACCCTTCCCTGGACCCTGCGCAAGCGGGAGCTACATGCACCAGGTTGCCCTTTACTCTTCTAGTCTTTCTGTTCCTATAAATTAGACGGAATTAAACTTAACTTTGTTCTTGACAGATTGAAGAGTGAAGAATCAAAAAGATGTAAAAAGTAAGTTTTACATCCGGAAAACAAAATGATTGGGAAATGGGGAGCTGCAGAATCTACTATTGCTAGCTAGTCCATGTGCACAAACAACTATCTTCTGTCAATTGTAAATAAATGCTCTCTTGCTTACGCAGATCATACCTGTCTCTTGGGAATATGAGTTTCTGTCTTGTTCAGAGTATCCAGTACTTCTGCTATAGTTGGTCGATTGTTTCTGTCAAGTTCCATACAACGCATTGCTGTGTCGATGCATGTCTGCACTTGATGTGATTCCTCTAATGGGTACTCTGAAGTGGCCTTTATCCTATTCTTCCAATTGCTAAGTACCTATGAAACAGGAACAGAGATATAATTTGAGATGAAAAATATAAAATTACAATCTAAGATACTTGTTCAAAAGTGTTTTTTTTTTGCGGGTTGTTCAAAAGTGTTCTTGACACACAAATTTCATGGTCAATATATTGTATACAGGGAGAAGTTTTCTGGTATATGTAAATTCTAAGTCAAAAGGTGTGACATGTACTCCGATATATACGTCATATTCTTGTTCAAAGGTGTCGCGTACCACTTCCTAGATAACTAACCTAGATAGAGAGTATTAGATGTCTAATTATGAGAGCAAAGTTTTTTTTTACCTTGTACTTGCTCCAAAATGCAGATGGAAACGCTCTTTATAATCAAAAGGAACTAGAAATAAAAGAAATGTACTATATGTATATGTGCTTATCACCTCTCTAATGAAGCAAGGTTCTGCGTGCTTTCTTTTCATTTTTAGAATCTCCAAATGTGCATTTTTGGCACTCGACGAGTAGTATACAAAATTAATTATACTCTAGATTTTTCTACTGGCAAGCGGATTAATTACATGAATAATTTAACTACTGGTTGTTTATGCTGACGACTAACTGTGCCATGTAGGTTTCTTATAATATAGTGGATATCCATTGTTGGTAGTTATTGGACCGGTGGAGTTCACATTTTTTTTCATTTCCGAAAATACAAAAGGAAACAACTTGTATATTAGGTTAAAAGTTTTTTATAGCTCAAATAAGTTATCAACTCCTTGCTTGCACGATCATAATGCGTAAAGTATAGACATCAAACATGTCCATAATGTGCTGCTTTGTTATATAAACTCGAGTGTCAAACTGAAAATGTTTTTCCGTACCTTCTGTGTAAATTGCACGACTTCGTCCATTTCTATATGACCGGAGTAACCCAAAGACCCTGTCATTATCTCTATCATCACAAGTCCTAAACTGAAGACATCATTCTTACGTGAGATATAGCCATCTTTTATGAATTCTGGTGGCATGTACGCCCTGCATGATATCAAAGGACACGGTCAGCACAGATATTGTTTATTTGATCACAAAAGGGGGGAAACTAAAAAATGAGGAATTCCGGGAGGCACTTACTGGGTTCCTTTGATTTGTTTTGTGACTTGAGTGTGTGATTGACTGATGACCCTTGACAATCCAAAATCTGCCACTTTAGGCATCATGGAACTGTCTAGTAATATATTGGCAGGCTTTAGATCAAGATGAAAAATTGGTGGTTCACACCTGTGAAGGAAATTTAATCCTTCACAAATGCCCTTTATAATCATGTAACGTATGCTCCAATCAGGTGCAAAAGATTCTTCTACACAAGTTGATAAAGACAATATTATACACAATAGAATTAAATTTGTTTTTTTAAACACGAAAGAAAATGAAGTTAAGTTCCATCGTACCAGGAAGACGCTTGTCTAGGCTTTCACCCTGCAAGTACTCGAAGCAGAGGACTCTATATATGTGTTTACTAAGACCTTGCTTACCCTTGTGTTCAACCAATTCAGAAGTTGTTTCATAACTATAACCAAGTAACTGCACGATATTTGGATGCTTAACCCTCAAAAGGTTACCAACTTCATTGAGATATTGTTGATCATCAATTCCTTGTATCGTATCAACATGAAGCAACTTCACAGCAACATCTCTTCCTTTGTACAGTCCCTGTGCTTGACATAAGCGTTCTACACAATTATTTGTTTATAACTGGGTCGTTTGTCGTCTGTCTTTGTTGTTGGGGTTGAAACACAAAATGACAAGTAATAAGCGATACCTTGTAAACATCTCCATACCCACCCTGTCCTATTCTTGAGTCCACTGAGAATCCATTTGTAATCTCACGTAATTCATGTAACGGTATACGCTTTTCTGCAGTCATGTTATATCAGCTAGCTTGGACCTCCTGGAGTGAATACACAAAAAAAGTGTGGCTTTAAATACATGAAAACAAATTTTCTAATGATGGCAAAGAAAACAAGATTGTCATAAGAAGAAATACATTAACACAGCATGGTCCTTGCATTATCTGACCCTCAGTGGCATATGTGATATCAGGTACGCCCTTTTATCAAAAAAATATGTCAGCATCCAACCTAGTTAGACTCCCTCAAGTGTTCACATGGAGTAGAACAAGGAAGGGAGGAGAAGCCTCACTCTCACCCAGTTTTGGGGGTTGCCCGGCCCCTACGTTGAGGAGGAACCAAAAAAACAAGGACGATTCTTGTATAGCAGCAGGTCAATCTACTCCCTCCGTCCGGAAATACTTGTCATCAAAATGGATAAAAAGAGATGTATCTAGACGTATTTTAGTTTTAGATACATTCCTTTTTAGTCATTTTGATGACAAGTATTTTCGGACGGAGGGAGTATTTTCCAGGTCAATCTATTTTCCGACGAAATTCTTGTATATTTGTCCAAGAATTGATGCTAACAGACATTTGGAATTACTGCTGTCGTATTTCAGAACAGATTAACAACTTGTGAGGAACTGGTCCGCGGGTACGATGAAGCGTGTCGTATCTTGAACCTGATACATATGCATCCAGGTAATTAGTTTCGATGCTGAAGATGCATTGGATCATGTGAATCATTCTGAAAAATCCTCTGGATATAGTAAAATGCTACAATTTTTTACTGTCACCCTACGAGTGTGAATATTGGAAGCACATCCGGTCCTTTATTTTATTCTAAAAGGCATTTTTTGCTTATTTGGTTGACTGTGTATTTTTGTGAACACAGATGCGCAATAATCAGATTGAAATCTGAAGTTGCTGTAAGGAACTCAGCGAAGTAGTAGCAATTATTTAGTACTCCCTCTGTAAACTAATAAGGAGAGCAGAAACGAGAGCGGTAATAAATCGCTAACCTGGAGCAGAAAGAAGACGCATCCCCCTCCTTATCTGATCCCTAGCCTCCGATCTGCGGTGGCCTTCGTCTCTGCACTGTTTGCTTCTCCACATGCAAATACGCAATGGACGGCGGCGGCCGACCAAGTGTACCGCTGAAGGAGGCGGCGGTGGAGGTCGGGATCGATTTGGGAGGGATAAGGTGGAATTTGCGGATGGGATCGACTTTCTGGATAGGTGAGGACTGAGGACTGAAGTGTAATTTCGGCAGCTGGCTGCCTGACAGTGGTATGAACACGGCAGGAGCAGCAGAGCATGGACAAGTGCGTCCATGCGTCCTGGTGGAGCCGAGGCCAACTCCAACACGGCAACTTATTTTGTTTTCTAGATTCGCACGTACAGAAAACGCGACTCTCATTTCGACATGATTTTCTTTATAAAGGTTGGTTGTCCACAAAATCGCAACCAGGTCTAGTTGGGCCATGAAATATCTGCTCGGTTGCGAACGCAGTGGATTGGTTGCCTGCAAAATCTAGGCTCACCCCCTCCCCCTCCCCCTCCCCTCATTACTCGGGCACCGCTACATCTAGGACAGCCACCACCTCTACCTTCACCACTTCCATTGGCGGTGACTCAGATCTGTGCGGACGCGCTGGCAGATCCGACCAGGGCCGGCCCTGAGGGGGGGCGACCGCCCCGGGCCCCCGATGGTCAAGGGGCCCCTCCCAAGGCACGCACGTAGGCAAGGGCCCTTGCCCAGCGAGGCACCAATGTCATGGATGCAGGGATTGCGCAGAATCAGCAGCCTAATTTCCTTCAATCTCGCACACAAGTCACGCGAGCAAACGCAGCTTTCCTTCTTCTATACCATGACTATTCCCCAACTAGTAGTTCTGTAGGTGTACGTCGTCATGTACAGATGTACTCTATTCACCCTTCCAAATTTAGATTGTTATTCCATATCCCAAGCCCCGATCTCGCTCTTGTGTTTCTCTCGCCGGCAGCGAACACTGAATCGATTCAAGGCCGAGGCGATCCTATTCTGGGACCCAATCGCAGGAAATGAATGCACAATTGAGCGCCTCCCGCCAGAGCCAGGCACCAGTTCACTTTGCGTCATCGTCGAGCGCCCGTCGTCGGATCACCGACGCCGATCCAATCCAACCGATCTTAGGTACTCTCTCCGTTTCAAAATAGATAACTCAACTTTGTACTTACATCATATTACCGCTTCTCACTCATACTGCTAACTAACTAATGTAGTTTTCTATACACGATGCATATTTTCCATCATTCCGTCTATAAAATATTCTTTTTGGGTTTATCTAAGAATCTGTTCATACCGTTTTATATTTGGGTATATTAATTAAAATCGAAATACAACGCGACGGCCGCGCTACATGCTACATCGAACTTCCTATATTTGAATTTATTAGCCCTCCCTTGAATATTGAGCCTAAAGTTGATTAGAAATTTTACTCGTTTTTTGCAAAAAAAGAAAGAAATTTTACTCGTAAAAGTGTGAGTTATATATAAGCTATCGTTGGGTTAGTATTCGAATAACATTTTGAATGATCTTTATTTTGTGATATATAACACATAGTTTATTAGTCAAATGGTAGGTCAAAACTAGGCTTTAAACCCGAAAAGGACTAATAAATCCAAACAGAGAAAAAACCGTACCGAGCACACAATGCTGATTGCCGGAATTATGACAACATCATGGATCCATACTTATAGATCTCACAAGAGATCAAGTTGCGGCGGCAGCTATATGAGCGAAAACGAGTTATAAATCTCGTATCTACTATTATTGTTATAATTTTTCTCTATTATATAGGGGGGGCCGAGTTTTTGTTTCGCCCCGGGCCCCCAAATTCTCAAGACCGGCCCTGTATTGATGCACCTCTCCATGGTGTATCCTTGAAAAAAAATTTGCTAAGAAAACGAGTCTATACAAAGATGAGATTACTATTTTGAGGCCTAACAAAACAAGGGCCCCGAGTCCTAGTTTCGCCCCGGGCCCCCGAAATACCAGGACCGGCCCTGGATCCGACAGTAGGAGCTACTGCTGCTCTTCCATTTGGCCATCATCTGGTCGTCCTTGACTCAGCCATGCCCCCCTCCCCTTTCATTGTCCTCGTCTCCGATGCCGGCAAGCAACACCGCATGTCCCCTATGTTAGGTGTGTTGTTAGGCCATTAGGCAAGGTGTAGGATTGATTTTCTCATTGCTCAACGCACCCTCGATGTGGACTAGGTTATGGATGCATGGATGCGGCTGGTACTTCAGGCGGGAGCACTGATAGCTGTGATTCAGGCATGGGTCATGTTCATGCACAAGAGAGTTGTTCATCGTGCTGAGAGACCTATCATCAAATATGCTCCAATGCTTATGCGGGAGCAGGGGAGGATCTCCGATCTAGACTACATATCAAAAATTCCACATCAAAAATATGTGATGAACATGTTAGGCAGCATTGAACGAAATATGCCCTAGAGGCAATAATAAAGTTATTATTTATTTCCTTAATTCATGATAAATGTTTATTATTCATGCTAGAATTGTATTAACCGGAAACTTAGTACATGTGTGAATACATAGACAAACAGTGTCACTAGTATGCCTCTACTTGACTAGCTCGTTGAATCAAAGATGGTTAAGTTTTCTAACCATGGACATGAGTTGTCATTTGATTAACGGGATCACATCATTAGAGAATGATGTGATTGACTTGACCCACTCCGTGAGCTTAGCATATGATCGTTTAGTATATTGCTATTGCTTTCTTCATGACTTATACATGTTCCTATGACTATGAGATTATGCAACTCCCGAATACCGGAGGAACACTTTGTGTGCTACCAAATGTTACAATGTAACTAGGTGATTATAAAGGTGCTCTACAGGTGTCTCCGATGGTACTTGTTGAGTTGGCGTAGATTGAGATTAGGATTTGTCACTCCGATTGTCGAAGAGGTATCTCTGGGCCCTCTCGGTAGTGCACATACTATAAGCCTTGCAAGCAACGTGACTAATGAGTTAGTTGCGGGATGATGCATTACGAAACGAGTAAAGAGACTTGCCGGTAACGTGATTGAACTAGGTATTGAGATACCGACGATCGAATCTCGGACAAGTAACATACCGATGACAAAGGGAACAACGTATGTTGTTATGCGGTTTGACCGATAAAGATCTTCATAGAATATGTAGGAGCCAATATGAGCATCCAGGTTCCGCTATTAGTTATTGGTTGGAGACGTTTCTCGGTCATGTCTGCATAGTTCTCGAACCCGTAGGGTCCGTACGCTTAACGTTCGACGACGATCGGTATTATGAGTTTATGTGTTTTGATGTACCGAAGGTAATCCGGAGTCCCGGATAAGATCGGGGACATGACGAGGAGTCTCGAAATGGTCGAGCCGTAAAGATCGATATATTGGAAGGCTATATTAGGACATCGGAAAGGTTCCGAGTGATTCGGGTATTTTTCGGGGTATTGAAGAGTTAAGGGAATTCGCCGGGAGAAGTATTGGGCCTTATTGGCCCATACGGGAATAGAGGAGGCATGCCAAAGGGAAGGAGGCGCCCCCCATGGGTCCGAATTGGACTAGGGGAAAGGGGGCGGCGCCCCCCCCCCCTTGCCCTTTCCTACTCCCTCTCTCTTTCCCTCTTTCTTCTCTCCTACTCCGGAAAGGAAAAAAGGAATCCTACTAGGACTCCTACTAGGACTTGGGAGTCCTAGTAGGACTCCCCACACTTGGCGCGCCCCCTCTAGGGCGGGCCTCCTCCTCCTCCCTCCTTTATATACGTGGGCAGGGGACACCCCAAAGGCACAACAGATACACAAGTTGATCATTGATCTTTTAGCCGTGTGCGGTGCCCCCTCCACCATAATCCACCTCGGTCATACCGTAGTGGTGCTTAGGCGAAGCCCTGCGTCGGTAGTTTCATCAACACCGTCATTACGCTGTCGTGCTGACGGAACTCTCCCTCGAAGCCCTACTGGATCGTGAGTTCGTGGGACGTC